TGATATCTTCCCCATTGTGTTTCTTGCTGTCCTATTACAAAATGGTTTTAATGGACTAACTTAGCTAATGACATGTCTGTCAGGGCCATTTTAAATTATAACCAATACAGACAAATATTTATCTCCAGGGTAATATGGAACACACACACACACATACACACACACACACACACACACACACACACACAGTTGAGACACATGTGAAAGTCCTTATGGGGAGATAAATCATGCATGTGAAAAAATAGAGAAAATACCTTCAGCACCAACTGTTTTGTAGTTGGGGAATGGGGTACGATCACCAACAAAGCAGATGGACTCCTTGTTGAGTGCTCGCCAAGGGCAGTGTGTTGGGATCAGTCTGCCCTGGCAGGGGACCCAGATTTGTTTACATTTTTCTAGGGTTGGTAATGCATAGTGATAGTTAAAAAGTAGATGGACTCCTCCTAGGTTTCAGTATTGGTTCGAATTCTCTACAGTCAATGTATTTCCTTGGTGCTGGCTCCTGGGGTGGGCCATTCTCTTCCCCTCACCCTTGGTTTTCCACTGCTGTCATGCCTCTCCAGGGGGAGGAGAAAGACAGTGGCAGATGGTCTGAAGTCACTCAGCGAGACAAAGACAAGTAGGTGGAAGGGAAGGGAAGTAGAGTGTGAGGGAAGGAAGATTGCCATTTCCTATTAGGTGGTTAGGAGAGTCTGCTCTTCACGGATACATTACACACACAGCATGTTCATTGCCATATGGAGTTTAAAAAGTCTTTCATATTTATGGTGCACAACTTGAACAGGTCCTGTGCAGAGCTGAGTTCACTGCGGGCACAGTGATGCTTTAGAGAGGGTACAGGTGGTGTGTGTGAAGGCACAGGGGAATCGCTGGAGAAAACTAGGAGATGGACTATGCTGAACTGTGTGAATAGTCCCACCAGGACAGTCATATGAACATAGTAGGTACTCAGTAAGTCCAGGACTTGATCCAAATTGCCATAAGAAAGCAATACTGACTGCATGGGGCGGAACAAGCAGGCCATGGTACAAATCATCCCAGCCGCTGGAAGGTAAAGTCTCTTTAGCTTTGCATAGAACTCTACCTCCAAAAGACTGTGTCTCTCCATTCATCTTTCAAAAGATAAAAGCAGATTGTATGTCCACAGGGGAAGAGATTAGAAGGTAAATTACTATGTTTTTATCAGCTGCCAAGAATCTCTTGACGTTTTTCAGCTTTCTTCTACAGAAACTAGAAATGGTAATGGCCACTAAAGGAGTGACCCATGGTGTCTGCCACCCTCTGGTGTCTATCTGCTTTATGGAAACTGCTTTGGTGTAAGAGACGAATTCAGAGCATGGAGGCCCCAGATAGTCTTATGTATGTTGCCAGGATTCTTGACAGGGTGAATTTGAGGAGGAAGAAACTAACAGTGCAGATAAACACCCAACAACAGTACACTTTTAAAATTCATAGTTGCATTTTCCACAATTTAGTTTTGAAGGTAGCATTCATGGATTCTTCATTTAAATTCTCTGAAAAGAACCATATTTTTTTTTCTAAATATATTGAAATGCACTGAGTTTGGATGGATATAATATATATCCTATATATAATATGAAATAAAGGTGTAGCTGTGCTGGTTTGGAAGGGGGGGCAAACTGTAAGAGAAGACATGCAAAATTTAAAATGACTTAAAATCACCAAACATTGCTGTCACTGGACATGGGGATTTGTTTACACTCCTCTGAAGAGTGTATATACTTTCATTTTTTACAGGCAATTATTTTGCTTAGACACTAACTGTAAGCTCTCTTAGGAATTGGTTCACATTTCAGTTTCTCCACATACATCAATGACTTGGGGGACCAGAAAAAGACTTAGGCAGCTCTATACACAATCCCGAGTACCCCTACAATCCTGATTTCTCCCTCTTTTCCAAAGATTCGTCTTTAAATTTTCAATATCCTTGTTCATCCCAAACTCTCTTTTCTGATTCTTCAGGTTAGAAAGATGGTGGGTTTATATTGGAGTTTTATATGCTGTTTCTACTTTGATCAACCTGAGGCTCAGAGCTGTAAACAGATAGTCATGCCACAGCTTTCCTCTAAGTTTCAGTGTCCTTCTGGAACCTTGTTGCTGTTGTCCACTTCCCAGTGTCTTTGGGTAAAGCTCACCCTGGCCCTCCAGTTACAGTTTTCACCTGCTGGAAAGTCAGGTCTGATAGGAGTTACACACATATTAGAAGCACAAAAGCTCATGGTGGTTCTCTTGCATTCCTTATTTGGCTGATTGTCCTTTGCTTTTAATATTTAATGCTTTTCTTTTTTAAATATTTTATTTATTTTTATTTGATGTGTATGTGTGTATTGCCTGTGTGTAGGTAAGTGCACCTGTGTCATGCAATGGCCTCGGAGGACAGAAGAGGCTGTCAGATCCCCTGGAACTGGAATTACAGACAGCTGTTAGCTGCCATGTGGGTGTGGGATTTGAATCCGGGTCTTCTGCAAGAACAGTTAGTGTTCTTAACCATGGAGCCATTTCTCCAGCCCCATATTAAATGCTTTTTGAAAGTATCTGGTCTTTCATTGTTTCTGTGTAAGACGTTCTGTGTGCAAGCCATCAAGCTCAAAGGATAAACTTTAATGTAGAGTGATCATAAAGGGGCTGGCTATTTATTCCCAGTGAAAGTATAAAATTATGAAAATAGGAGGCCTGGAGAGGTGGTTGAGTGGTTGAATGCTTGCCGCCCTTGCAGAAGACCTGAGTTTGGTTCTCAGCATGCATACTAGGTAGCTCACAACTGGCTGTACCTCTAGCTCCAGGGGATCTGACACCCTCTTCTGGCCTCCACAGGCACCTGCATGCATGTGGGCTGTTTTAGTTTGCCTCTCCATTGCTGTGACAAAACACTCTGACCACTACCAACTTGGGGAGGAAAGGGTTTATTTGTCTTACATCTCCCAGGTCACAGTTCATCAGGGAAGCCAAGTTAGGAATTCAAGGCAGGAACCTGGAGGGAGGAGCTGGAGTACAGGCCATGGAAGAACGCTGCATACTGGCTTGCTCTCCTGGCCCCTGCTCAATCTACTTTCTTACGCAACACAGGCCCACCTGTCCAGGGATGGCACCACCCACAGTGGGCTGGGCCGTCTTATATCACACAATGATCAAGAAATTGCCCCACAGACATGGCCACAGGCCAGTTCAATGAAGGCAATTCTCCAATTGAGGCTCCCTCAACCCAGGTGTGTCTAGTTGACACTAAAGCTATCCAGCACATGGGCATATACACACATACACATAAGTAAACTTTTAAAATTAAAAATCATTAAAATATTTCCCCCTCCCTCCCTACAAGTACATTTGGTTTCCTTGGGAACAATCTGCTTAGATGCATGCAAAGTTGAGGAAGGGTCTCACAGTTCAGCATTTAGATTCATTTTCTTTTTCTTTTGTAGAGCTGGGGATTGAACCCTGTGGCTCACACATGCTAAGCAAGTTCTCTCACTGATCTATATTTTCAGCATCAGCATTTAGATTTTTAAATGCATCTTTCCACGTTCATCCCAGCTGCCTTAGTTGTGCCTGGTAACCCTGTACTATAATCTCCCTCATTCCATATTCCCAGAGAGTAATCCTTTCCAACTTCCTTTGAGGTGATGGGTGGCAGAGCTGGTCTAGGGGACCAATTGTTTCTTAATCAAGCCTTCAGCCAATCCTATTTCCAGCCCCACCTTTCTTCTGTGTTTGAAGTTTCAGGTGACGCCAGTGTTCTGGGTCTTGTGTGGAGCTTTGTTTAATGAGTTCCTTCTTTTTGACTCTATGCACTGTCTACCATATCCAGGCAATCTGCTAATCTGTTAATTCAGTCCCATCCGCCCTCTTCTGGTCTGCCACTGTGTTACTGAGAGGTGGTCTGCTGTGGTCCCTGCTCACGCACACTGTACCCTTTGTGTGAATTCTTCTACAATCATTTGGGTGGGATTTTAGACAGAAATAAATTCTCTTTTCCTTATTAATAGGAAGTGAATAAATTTTAAAGAGTCAATTTGAGGAGAAAAATCACTTTTATTTTTCATTTTTAAAATGCCTTTTTAAAGTTAGCATACAGAGTAATGGGCTTCATTATGACCTTTTCATACATTTGTATCATTATATGGTAACCTTCCCCCACAGCCTCCCCCAGGCCCCTTTCCCCCTCCTGATTCTTTTCTTCCAGGGAAGAAATAATCCCCTAAAGAGTAAATGATGAAAACATCCTTTTCTCATCTTTGCATTATGTTGAAGTCATAACCCCCAAGAGAATGAAGATATCTTACTCTCCAAGCGAGTGTGTGTGTGTGTGTGTGTGTTTCTGTACATGTAGAATCAGAGGTTCGGTACACACTCACAGGTCTTATGGGCACAGGTCCCCATGCCTTCCTACTGTTCTCATTGCTTAAAATGAGTTTTTACTTGTACCTTGATATATAAAAATTAAAAAGTAACGAATTACTCTGCTGCAGGCATTACAAAATGTCTTTTTGTAGAAGCCCTGAGCATCTTTCAAGAGCTTTGAGATTCCCCCCAGAGCTTACATAGATGGAAAACCATTGCTTTAGTGACAGTGTTCTGCAGGGTCTTAGTCCAAACAGTATGCCCAACTGTCTCTCTGGTGGAAGAATATTAAGAATATAATTAACAATAACAATGTTAAACTTTATTGAATATGCACAAGTTCCGGGCATCCCATCACAGGCTTTATAGACATTTTCTCAGTTTTCACAATATTGTGAAATGGGTGTAGTAATTTTTTCCATTTCGTAGGTGGGGTGGAGAAGAGATTAAGCGCAAGAGCTGGAACTCAAAGCCCAGCCAGTCAGGACTGGTCCTGGGCATGGTTTGAGGAGCTTTGCTCCCGGACTCACAGCACCTGGACTAGTCAGTGGGGTGTTGCGCACAGAGGCTGCCTCCGGTTGGTTACAAAGAATGTCATGGAATAGAGTAAAACAAAAAGCAATCATATTTTTAATCTCCAGGCAACGGCAGCTCCCAGACACCCCACCCTACTCTGCATCAGACCCCCACTCTCCTCCACAGGTCAAAGGTGAGTGCCATGTGCCTTCAGCACACCTTGTAAGATTTCTCTTCTCCAACTCTGGGTAGTGAGGACAATGGCTCCTCTCGCTTGTCTTTCCCACAGGGGCATGCTGCCGGAGCCCGAGGCCGACAGCAGAGAAAATCCCAGCCACATTTCTTCACTCCACGCCTGCACCTGCGCTGCTTCCTGCGCACCGGCCACAGAGCATCTCTGCAATGGACCATTCCAGCCACATCCACAGCAGTTTTCACAACGGCTATCCAGACTCCAGTCATCCCACCACCTCCCTGGACCAAACCCGGCCCTCCCATCTGGGGATAAGTTGTACTTACCCTCAGCAGCCTTTGTGCCACGCTCCTGGGTAAAGGGCCAAGATACTTAGTTATGAAACACCGCAGCAGAAAGCCTCAGAGCAGACAGGACACCCAGCAGGAGTGGAGGGGATTTGGGTGGGCGGGGGAGAGCGGAGCCTGTCCAGAAGGTGGCAGTGTTGAGGTGCATATGACACTGTGAGGCACCAGTGTTCAGTTTAGACAATCCTGTAAATTAAAAACCTACTAACCCCAAAGTTCTCATTCAGCAAAAAGTTAAAATGTCAGAAGCATGTAGAACACTTCCAAGTGATGGCGAGGGGAGCCGTATCTGCAGACTCAGCCAGAGGCTAGGAGAGTTTGAGAATGAGTTCTCAGAGAACTGTCAATTTAGCCTTCTCTCCCAATTTTCTGGCTCTTACGCCTCCTCCTCCAGAAGGCAGGGGTCATCAGCAAATGTGGTAAAGCTCCACGTGCAGAAATGGCACTCTCGGGTAAAATGCATGCCTGAATTTTCAGTTTGTGCTTCTGTGCTCTGCCAGCCGTGTATCTTTCAGGCAGCTGGATTTTAAATTAGCTGTTTGTAGGAAGACTTAAGTTTCAGACTAGTATGGTCCAAGAAACCTCAGTGCATTGGGGTTGGACTTAGAAAAGCAGAGAGCAGCTTAGAAAAGCACTGGGCAGCTCAGTTTGATTTCCTGGAACATGCAAAGAAGATCCTAATCTTCCCTTTGGTTTTTTTGACTTCAGAACCTCCTTGCCTCCAACAAAGAAGAGGAAGTACGGAGAGACACTAGAGGACTCCGGGGACTGCTGTATGTGGACCCACCACCACTCCAGACCAGGTGAGCACTGCTGGTTGTGACAAAGTCAACACATCTAAGTCTTGGCTATTAGATGAAGGCTTTTGGCCAACCTCACAGCAGCCCTGTGTCTCTCTCATAGAAGAGCAACAATAGGTTCTGGGAGTTTATTCTACCCTCTTGATGTGTCTTTTATGCAGGTCAGTTGCACAGGTACTCCTGGAAAGAGATGCTGTTCTGTCTCTCTGGTGCAGGTGAAATGCCAGTCTTTCAATTTCAGGAGCAATATGTCTCAGAGAGGAGGGTTCCAAGCCTGGAGAAGTGGTATAGCACTTTGTACAGCCTGCTGGGGGTCCATTTCCATGTCACCTGTGATCCTCCATTACTGTGTTATGCACAAGCTAACTTGGGGTCTTAATAAAATACAAATTTGACTCAGTGACTCTGAGCTGGGATCTTGAGTCCAGTAGTTCTAACAAGCTCACAGGTGGAGACTAATGGAGGCGGATGGAGAGGGCTGAGAAGAAAACTTCAGAAGAAAAGGAAGGTGGGAAGTTGAGCTTTCCTCTCCAGATTAGCTCCTTTCCAGTAGACCTTTGAAAGTTTGTAAAATTACTTTAGAAAGCTTTCATTCAAAACACCTGATGCAGGGATAGGGAGGTGGCTCAGTGGTTAAAGCTCTTGCTGTGCAGACAGCAGGCTTGAGGACCTGAGTTGGATCTCCAGAATGCAGGTAAGTGCCAGGTGGGCATGGCAGCCAGCCTGTAATCCCAGTGCTCCAAAGGTGGAGACAGATGATCCTTAGAGCAAGCTAGCTAGCTAGTCATATGGGTGAGCTCTGGGTTCCATTGAGTCCCCACCTCAATGAATAAGATGGAGGGCAACAGAGGAAGACTCCCAGGGCAACCTCAGGCCTCCACATGCATGCACACATAGCACTCCCACATATGTGAATATGCATGTACACACACACACACACACACATTGCACATGCATACATCTGAAAAAATCAAACTTGATGCCAAGTGGTCGGCCTCCTAGTTATTTTTCTTACATAACATGTTAAACATCATGGTTTGAGCTTAGAGACCTGATCGACTTGGGGATAATTTGGTCTTTTGGAGTCTGAAGACTTGAACTGTCAGAAGTTTCAGGGAAAAGGATAGGCCAGGTCCACTAGCCTCTATAAAGACTCAAATGTAGGCCCCAAATTCAGGATACAGGTCCCATTGGTTCTGTCCCCATGAATCGGCTTTGCAAGAAGTCCAGGATTTCATCTGGGGTCTCTCCTGTTCCTGTCTCCAGACTCTCACAGTATCTCCAGACACACTGCTTTGGAAGGACATGCTCCTGCTTCTCACCAGCTGGGGTTGCTGCCTCTGCCCTTAGCAATCCTACGGTTAGAGATGACCATGTCAGAGACCTCTGGCTTCAGCTGTGGCATGGGCATGTGGGAGGGATGTTGTTCCTTCTGTGGGCAATGACATCATTCTCTCAGTGAAGTCTCAAGTGTGGCCACCTCAAAAGTAAGTGTGATTAGAACTGCACTGGCACTTCTTGTATAAGTTGAGCCTCTTACTAGGACTAGCGGTTGACCTTTCTTCCCCAACCATAGAAACACAAAAGGCTTATTAAAGACCTTTTAGAATAGTGAAGAGCTCTTTGTCACCTTTCTATGTAAGGTTACCTTACTTTCTTCAGGGATCCTTACATGTGGCCTTCAGCTACAATATAAACACAGTAAATTTCCAATCAGATGAGATTCTCCTGCAGAAGCCTCAGCTGCTTGGGAGATACAAAAGTCACTCAGACCTCCCAGGAGTTTCCTCAAAGTGCCAGATTGCTGCTCAATTAGTCCTGGCCATTCTGGAGTTAAGCTTTGTCCTGTGATGGTTTTCTGCTGCTGTCTTAGACCAGGCATTAATTTTTTACCACCCTCAAAGAAAGCTCTGGAGAGTTACTGAAATGTTCCAGCAGATGGAAACCCCTGAATCCTTTGTTTAAGTCCTTTTTAAAGGTCACTGGAAAGCTGACTAAATATAATTGATTCTAGATAACTGTTCAATGAGCAAATTCCCAGGGCAAAATAAAAAAAAAAAAAAAGGAAGAAAAAAGGCTTAGTTAATCCTCATGTTTTGGCATGGTTTGGCCTCACATTTCTAGTGGAGATTTGCTATTTACCTGTGTTTTGCAGAGACCAAGGACTTTTGCAAGATTCTGGGGGGCGGGGGGGAAGAATACATTTATAGAGGAAAGAAGGGCTTGCACCAGTTTAAACATATTTTCATTAATTCTTTGAGAATGTCATACAATGTATTTTGATCATATTGCCCCCGCTCTTCACCCTAACTTCCCAGATCCACTCCTACATCCTTGTCCCCCAATTTCGTGTCCTCTTTTATTTTTTTAATAACCCATAGAGTCCAATTTGTGCTACCCATTTAAGGTGTGGCTCATCCACTGGAGCATGGTCAAACTACCAGGAGCCACAGCCTTAAAGAAAACAGACTTTCCCCCAAAAGCCATCAGCTGTTCATAGTTCCTCAGTTAGGGGTGGGACTGGTGAACATCTTCTTCCCTCCACTCTAGAATGTTGACCATCTTGATGGTGCAGATCCTTTACAGGCACCCACAGCTGCTGTGAATTCATGAGTGCAGTGTTCCTGCCTCGTCCAGAAGACTGTTTGGCTCTTGTCCTCCTGACTCTGACTCTTACAATTTTTCTGCCCCCTCTTCTGTGATGGCCTCTGAGCTTTGGGGAAGGGGGTGTGATATTGATATCCCATTATAGCTGAGCACTCCATTGATACTTTGACCAGTTGTGAATTTCTGTGTTAGCTACAATCTACTGTACAAAGTAATTTTTCTGATGAAGTCTTGGAGTTGCCCTAATCTGTGGGTATAGAGATATGAATTTAGAGGGCAGTGTGATATTAAATCCATTTATGTAGGATAATAGTAATAGGTTCATCCCCGGGGTCCATGAACTCCCCAACTATGGGTTCTTGGGCAGATGTACAGTACCAAGCATATGTTTCCTTCTGTTGAGCAGGCCTTAAATAAAAGCAGAAAGAGATTGGTTACCCCTATAATATGAATGCCACTATTTTACCCATGTTCTCATCTTGTTACACCAGTCTTTATTGTACGTCACAGGGTTCACAGCTGGGTAAGACAGTCGATAACTTTCCCCCCAGACACCTGCACAGCACCTTCCAGTACTGTGGGAGCTAGCCAGCAGGGAAGAAGCTCCCTGGTCAGTACCAACTTGATTTTTCCATATCCTGTGACCAATGCATATGTTATCTTCAGCAGTAGGGTCTGACCATCAAGTTCTGGTGACCATGTCTGAGTTTGCTTCTCTGTTATGATAAAACACTGACCAAAACCAACTCAGGCAGGGGGGGGATTTATTTCACCTTCAGTTTACAGTTCATTATGGAGGGGAGCCAGGGCAGGCTCTCAGGACAGGACAACATGTCAGTAAGCAACATTCCTCTGTGGTCTCTGCTTCAGTTCCTGCCTCTAGGTTTCTGCCCTAAATTCCTGCCCTGACTTCTCTCAGTGATGAACCATGACCTGAGATATGTAAGATACAATGAACCCTTTCCACCCCAAGGTGGTTTTGGTCAGTGTTTTTTATCACAGCAATAGAAAGTAACTAGGACAGCAACCAAGAGCAATGTCAATACTATGGATTTCTTTGGGGGCCTTCAAGAGGCCTCTGAACAACCTGAGGGAGATATCCCACACTTGGCATTGGAAGTATTTGGTACCAGTCTTATAGTCAGGAGTAGGATTGCTGATTTTATTTTATCTTTACATGGGAGAAGATATTCTAAATCAACCTCTAAGACTTTGATGGTATATTAATTATGTTTTCATTGTTGTTTCAAAATACCCAACAAAAGTAACTTAACGAATGTCTCACAGTTTGAGGGTACAGCTCAGCATGGTGGGGAAGTCATGACAGCATAAATGTGAGGCTTTTGGTCATACTAAATCCACAGTCAGGAAGCAGAGAGAAATGAGCTCAGCTCTTTTTCTTTCTTTCTTTTCTTTTCTTTCTTTTTTCTTTTTTTTTAATTCAGTCAGGGACTCCAGCTCAAGGGTTTATGCCACCAACATTCAGGGTGTATCTTCCCTGCTCAGTGAAATATTTCTAAAATGTTTTCATAGACAAATCCAGAAGTATGTTTCCATGGTGATTCCTAATCCCATCAGATTGACAATGAAGACTGATTATCACAGCTGGTTACCTACCTTCTTCTCACCAGTACATTTGACAAGGGTTCCAAGATGCCATTTATAGACTTGAAATGTAGAATTGCTAAATTGGTGTGAGCATATACATAATACTGCATGGAGAGAACCCCTGGTGGATAGGCTCCTTGTTCCTTGGCTCCTGACCCCTCCTGCCTGACTACAAGAAGGTTCATGGCTTCCTTAGGAGCCTTTGACTCGACTCATATTTTGAACCTCAATTATGAAAGGGGTTTTACAACTTTAGAGTCAAAGCTGTTGGGGCCACAGTAAGAAGTACAGTGGCTGAACACACTGTGAGGAGGTAGGGAAGTGCTTGTCTCATCTCTCCAGCAACTGGGAACTCTCAGAACACATTCCTTAATTATCAACTGAGAATCGCAATTTCTCCTCCACTCATCTCTGAAACTGTTTTAAAGCAAAGTATACAGGGTGTTTTGAAAGACATTCAGATACAAGCCATCCACTTTCTTCAGTGGAACTTGGGTACTTTGCTGCCCTCAATGTATCAGATTTCCTCCAGAGATCCTCAGACAACATGAAAGAAAGAAGGCAGTTTGACTCCCAGGTCTTCCATTTAACAACTCTGACACTGGGCAAATTATTTCAGGTCTTTGAATATCAGTGTCAATACTTGTCAATGATGCCTGGAATCCTTGTCTTATAACCACTTAGGAAGTGTTTGGTGGCATGTTCCTATTCACCAGTGATGTCATAGCCAGGAATAGACCTAACAGAGTGTACACACTCACCAGAAGACATGCTCAGAATGCCCATCATTGATTGCATGTCTCACAATTCCTACAAACAGGAAATAGCAACTCATTGTCACTGGCAGATTATGCAGTAGGGTATGACATAGGAATAAAAGCAAAAGGGCTGCCATGTGCAACAATGATAATAAATGTTATAATGTTTGACAAAAGATGCTAGCATACAAGAATCTATACCATGTAACACACACTCTCTCCCCTCACCTCTCTCCCCTTACTTTCTGGTGCTGGGGATGGAGCCCTGAACCTTGCTTATGCTAGGTAAGTACTCTACCACTGGGCTACATACTGAGCTGTAGTATTCATTTGGGTTACTTAGAAGACCAGGGGCACTTTACCAATGGCCACACCATTGAAGAAAATGTCTCGCCCTCCCCTAATCAATCATTAACTGCACATAAATTTTTGTAAGGCCCGCCCTCCTCCATGACAAGATAGTGATAGGTCCAATCTTGCATTGGGTCTTGTGCAGATAACCATAGTTGGTATGTGTTTAAGAGAGCAATGGCCGTGGCATGCATGGAACATAGGGTTCTATAATAGCCCACCCCATCATTTGGCTTTTATGTTCTTTCCTCCCCCTCTTCAGCAATGTTCCTTGAGTCTTGGAGGTGGTAATATAGATGTCTTATTTATGACTGAGAATTCAACAGTGACGTGTTCTTATCACTTTGACTAGTTACGAGTTTCTGTAATCATTGCAAACTGCAAAAAGAAGCTTCTCTGATCAAAGCTAACAGCAGTACTAATCTAGGGGCAGAAGCACAATTACTTAGAAGGCAATTTGATGGACATAGCCTACCCATAAACCACCTCCCCAGCCATAGGCTTTGACTGGTTTATAATGACAGATATGACTATCATCCTGTCAAACATGCCTCTAAACCAAGTAGAAAGCAGTTGGTTACCCCCATAACAGGCCTGCCATTATTGCATAAGTGGGTACATCTTGCTTGGCTAGTTGGTAGTGTTGCATGAAGAATCCACAGATGCATGAGACTATTGATGTCAGTTCTTCCCCAGTAACCAGCATAGCACTTTCCAGCACTTTTGGGCTAGCCAGAAGGGAGGAAGCTCCCAGCCCAGATCCAGCTTGATTTCTCTATGTCCTGTGACCAGAGCATGTGGTATCTTTTGCAGTAGGTCTTATCAGTGAACAGCAGTAGCAATTGTTTGTACAGTTTTGGTGACTTCAGAGACCTTCTTGGAGCACAACTTTTAGGGAGGTAGCCTACCCCTGGTACTGGGATTTTCATTTAATAACCTCTGACTTCTGGGAACAGTTTATCTATTCACACAAACGTGTGAACTTTTTAAAACGGTTTACCAAGCATCAGATTTCCTTATGGCTTCTTCATTTGTGATTAGTTTTCACTTTACCGTCTTCTTTTTTCTCTTATCTCCCTGTCACTCTGCCTCTTAACTATTTTCATTCCCAGTGTTCTGTCTTCCAGTTTTGTATCACACACATACTTGACTTCTATTCTCTTAAAGCTTATTTATTCCCCTCTCATAGACCCCTTTTTAGTGTTCTGGTGTCAACACCCTCCCACACACATACGTAGGTATATAAAAATTAGAAGATAGGATCTTCATATGACAGTGAACAAGTGATGGTTGTCTTTCTGAGTCTGTGTTACCACACTTTATATAATATTTTCCAGTTCCATCCATATCCCTGTACATTTATAGTTTTAGTCTTCTTTATAGCTGAATAAAATTCCATGGTGTAACGTACCACATTTTCATTATCCATTCATCAACTTATGAATATTTAGGCTGATCTTATATCCTTGCTGTGTGAATAGAAAATCAATAAACATGGATGTGCAAGTAACTTTGTGGTTGGATATAGAGACCATTGGGTATGTGCAGGGATGGTATAGCTGGGTCATTTGGTAGTTCTAATTTTAGTTTTTGAGAAACCGCCACAGAGATTTCCACACTGGCTGCACTGGTCCACACTCCCACCATCAGTGAATAGTGTTCGCCTTCCTCCACATCCTTGCCAGCATTTGTTTCCTTGATGAGAGAGCCTTTCCAACTGGAGTGAGATGGAATCTCAAGGAAGTTGTAATTTGCATTTTCCTGATAGCTAAGGATGTTGAACTCTTTTTTTTAACTTTAAAAAATTATTTATTATTTTTATTTTATGTGTATGCGTGTATTGCGTCAGATTCTCTGGGACTGGAGTTACAGACAGTTGTTAGCTGCTGTGTGGGTGCTGGGATTCAAACCCGAATCTTCTGCAAGAACAACCAGTGTTCTTAACTGCTGAGCCATCTCTCCAGCCCCAGGATGTTGAACTCTTAAAAGTATTTATTGGCCATGTGTATTTCTTCTTTTGCAAATTCTCTGTTCTGTTTCTTAGTTCAATTTTTAATTGGGTTGTTAGTTTGCGTGTTTGTTTTTCTTTATCCTTTGTATATTATGGATATTTGTCCTCTGTTAGATGTGTAGCTAGCAAAGATTTTTTCTCATTCTGTGTGCTATTTACTCAAATCATTTCCTTTTCTGTGTAGAAGCTTTTAAATTCATGATGTCCCATTTTTTTGACTGTTGGCTTTATTTCCTGAGCGACTGAGTCTCAGAAAGTCCTCACCTCTGCTTATATCTTGAAGTGTTTTACTCTAGCAATTTTAGAGTTTCAGGTCTTATGCTAATGTCTTTGATCCATTTGGAGTTAATTTTTGTGCAGAGTGAAAGATACAGCCCTAGGTTCATTCTTCCACATGCAGATATCCAGTTTTCCCAGGGGCATTTGTTGAGGAGGCTGTCTTTTCTCTAATGTATTTTTGGCATCTTCGGGAGCCACAGAATCTTGGTACCACAAAGACCTGTAATGAATTAGGATATATTGACTGAAATTAGTAAAAATAAAACCTCAAATCATCAAATTGCCTTCAAAACAAAAAGCAAAGAAAATATCCCCAAACAAATAAACAAACCAGACATCCATTGGCTCCTGTGATCCCAGAGTTTAGGGTTGAACCCAGAACTCAAATCATTGGGATTAGGTGCTATCATCACTATTTCTGCAGGCTGCAGTGCTGGCTTCATACCCAGATGGGCTTTCCCTCATGTTCCCCCGTGCTACCAGCAGCTCTTGGGAATGTATCTCATGGATTCAAACCTCATGGAAAAGAGAGGCCATCGTGGTGTCTGCATTCCCCAAAGTGCTAAGATCTACTGTACTTGGATTGGATTAGGCTTTGTGGCCACCCTTCATGCAAGTACTGAATAATATACTTTGAATGAATGAACCTGGGTCACCACCCTTCAGGGACTGGGCATAGACTTCACTGGAACGACACAGACAGGAAGTGAGGAGAAGCTGTGTAGGTAGCAAATAGGGTCCCACAGGTATCTATGACCCCCCCTTATAGATCGCTGACCTGGAGGTACTCTGCTTACAGGTCAGCAGATGCCTCTTGCCTCCTCCCATCACTTAGTAGCTCCCACAGACATCCTGCTTCATATACAACCGCTCCTTAGCTCCATGCAGCTGTGAGTCTGGTAGGAAGACTCTAACCCACCAATTCTTTTCTTTTCTTAGTGACAAGTAGGAATCACAGCAGTGAAGTACAGGACCACAACACTGAAGAACATAATGGGATACCTGTGGACCAGTGCTCTCTTGCTCTGAAGTGGCAGCCGTACCGAAGTGTTCCTTGGCATAGCTTATTAAACAGTCATTATGAAAAACTGTAAGTGGCTTTAGTGATGCCTTGGGATAGACTGGAGACTTGGGCAGTGGGAATGCTAAATCTTGGGACTGAGTCTAAGTATTTGGATTTAGAAGCCACCCTTGGTCAGATTGGGTGGGTCATTTCGGAAGTCTCTGTCCTGCTCCTTATGTTTGTGTGCTAGATAGCTTTAGTGTCAACTTGACACACCTGGGTTGAGGGAGCCTCAATTGGGGAATTTCCTCTATTGGACTGGCCTGTGGCCATGTCTGAGGGGCATCTTCTTGATGAGTGATGTGGGAGGGCCCAGCCCACTGTGGGTGGTGCCACCCCTGGGCAGGTGGGCCTGTGCTGTATAAAAAAGCAGGCTGAGCAGGGGCCAGGGGAGCTAGCCAGTAAGCAGTGTTCCTCCATGGCCTGTGCTCCAGCTCCAGGTTCCTGCCCTGAGTTCCTACCTTGGGTCCCCTGATGAACTGGGACCTGGGAGTTGTAAGCTAAATAAACCCTTTCCTCCCCAAGTTGATAGTGGTCAGAGTGATAGTGGTCAGAGTATTTTGTCACAGCAATGAAGAACAAATTAGGACAGAGTCCTACAGTTCACAGGCACAGGGAATGCAAAAGCCTTCTGGTGGCAAGGGTCCTGGAATGTTGAGGAATCCTCCAGGTGCTTGATCCTGACTCTAACCCTAATTCTAACCTTTGCTCAGATCTTCATTCTGACCCTGTACCTGTTAGTAATGCTGATTGTGAGCCTGGCCCTAACCGAAGCCTGACCCAAGCTCCAACCCGAACACTGGTCTTGACCCTCACCCTGACATTAATGTTGATCCTCATTCTCGCCCATGCATTCTCAACAGGGCCAATATTTTCCTACCATCTCTGCTAATGTATAGAACACAGACACGCATGTTACATATGCAGTGTAATGATTGCATACAATTCTATGGTGTGGGCAGTCACAAAATGAAGACTCTTCAAGGGCTTGATAATGAATAAAGCCATGTTGGTATGTGCTGAATTCTACTGACTGTAACCCTTACCCTGATTTGTCCCTGATCTGACCCTGATTTGACGCTGGTCTTAGTTTTACTTCTGACCCAGTCTGCCTGAGGGAAGTTTAGCAGGAGCCCACTGGGGAAGGAGGCATCGGGGTCTGGCCACACAGAAGCTGCACGATATGGGAAGAATCTTGGCCTTTGCTCTGAGTTCCTTGGGGTTTGTTGACATCCATCTCTCAACCTCCTTTAGGAGGGAGAAGCCATGTCCATGTTTCTTGGTATAGTAAATTTCTACCACTTACAGGGAATGAATATATACATGAATTGGCTAATACAGGCTTTATGTATGTTTAATACATAGATGGAAATACATATATACATGTATACTCAACCCTCTATACCTGTAGATTCAACCAACCACAGATTTAAAAATGTGTGTGTTTACAGAGGAATCATTTCCTCCATGCTTCCAAGTGAAGCCAACCATGGCCAAGCAGGACCTTTGACTTTTCTTCACATAGGCAGAACTGGTAAAAGGAGCCAGGGGCTCCTCCCAAGCCCATGTGACCCCTGAGGAACAGATCCTCAAATGACCTTAAGAGTAAAAATAAATTGGTTTATCTGGGCCAACTGTATGGC